TTGGCCATTCAGGCAGGGAGAAGTTTTCTTCTCTGAAAGGTGACAAGTAGCTATGTAATGACTTCCATTATTTTCTCAATAAACTCAGAGAAAATAGGACATTGCAGCTAGAAAAACACAGAAAGAGAAATTAGCTGCTACTGTCATTAAGGATTCAGAGACTGATAAAGAACAGTTGGTGCAATGCAGCTGGAGAGGCTTTTCAGAGTAAAGTGATTATTCTCTGGCCATTAACAAATTATTTTTTCCTGGACTGAAAGACCTGCACTCCTCCAAATAACTTGGCTTTGCTATGAGAAGCATGCTGACTGCCAGGGCAGGCAAGAGCCATTGCCCTCTTGGCCCTCCTGGTGGCCACTGCACTTCCCCCTCTTTGTTTCCATGCCACAGAAAAAGTGCAGAATAATTAAAAAGGTTGAAGCACATGCAGACGTTGGAAGAGAGACTGGTTTTCAAAACTAGCCTGACCAAATCAATTTGGAGCTGCATCTGGAATGTTCAGGGACCTGCCCTCAGCAGCCCCACTGGAGCTCAGTGAGGTGTCACAGCAAACTTCCCTCACCTCCCTTGTCAATCAGAGCTCACCCCCCATCATCAGCCCAAAGATAACACAGTGATAAGACATTTGGGGACACAGTCAGTCAGTCCTGGGTTTTGTTCTGGTATCTCTGTGCCATGGGGGAGGTGGGGGGAACCCAAACCCACACCCAGCTTGCTCTCCGAGTCAGCAGCAGTTGCCTCCCTCCGGCTATAGTGGCTGCTCTCCAGCCACTCTGAAGGGACTGGGAGCAATACAAACACCTGGAAGCTACTAAGCTGAAGGACACCTTGTCCCTGAAGAGGGTGGAGGGAACAAACAGGAGACCTATCCCAGGCTCTCTGTTTAATTCTTGACAACATTTAGCCATCTGATATCTTAAAAGAAGCATTTCCAAACAACGACATGCACAAATTGAGATCAGTGATGAGTGGTATCCCCCAGAGGTCCATACTGGGACTGGTATCCTTTAATAACTTCATCAGTGACACGAACAGTGGGATCAAGGGCACCCTCCACTCTTGTGAGACCCCGCCTGGAATATTGCATCCAGCTCTGGTGTCCTCAGCACGGGAAAGACATGGACTTGTTGGAACAGGTCCAGAGGAGCACGAGGAAGATGATCCTGGGTTGAAGCACCTTTCCTATGAGGACAGGCTGAGAGACAGGCTGGGGCTGTTCAGCCTGGAAAAGGCTCCAGGAAAACTCTACAGCACCTTCCAATGTCCAACGAGGACTGACAAGACCGACACGGACAGATGTTTTAGCAGATCCTGTTGCAATAGGACTAGGGGTAATGGTTTTAAACTAGGGTCAACTTAAACTGGACATAAGGAAGAATTTTTTTACTGGGAGAATGAGGAGGCACTGCAACAGGTTGCCCAGAGAGGTGACAATTGTCCCATGCCTGGAAACATTCCAAGTCAGGTTGGACAGGGTTTCAAGCAACCTAATCTAGTTGAAGATGTCCCTGCTTACTGCAGGGGGTTGGACTAGATTACCTGTAAGGTCCCTTCTGATCCAACTACTCTATGATTCTACTAACAAGGAAATACAAAAGGATGCTGGAAACAGGTCCTGCTCAGAGGAATCCAGTCATTCACACCCAAAGCCAGCAATTGAGTATGGAGCTGCAGCTGACACAAGGGCCCCCAGGACACCCAGCCACCCACAGGACTGGCAAAATCCTACAGATGTGACTCTGTAAACTCACCTCAGCCATGTTACAGCACTGCTCTGTACACTAAAGGATAGAACTGGGTGGGACTGGGAAAAAAGGGAAGGCAGAACTAACAAGCAACATTAAATCACCCAGCAGAGCAGCTCCTCCGCAGAGTGGCCTATTTACAGAGTAACTCAGTGCCCTGGGAGGGATGGGCAATATTGCAAACCCCGGAAAGGAAATTCCCTAGAAGAACTGAGACAGGCTAACAAAGATCCTGGCAGCCTAGGACCTCTTATACAGACACCTCTTCTTTGAAATCTAGAGTCTCCTGGGAGGATTTAGGCCTACAGCTTTGAACATAAGGAAAACTTTTTCATCCTGAAAAGTCTGTGAAACTCAAGTACTGCTGGAAAGTGCTTCACTGTATTGTTGTTCTGAAGATGCTGTTTCTGGAGGCAGGACCCAGCACAACCTGATCTCAAAACAAAGCCATCCGTGGCTAGTGCCACACATCACCAATAATCTCCTTCCTCTCAAAATAAAATGAAATAAAATAAAATAAAAGCAAGTACCCCCATAAATCATTCATCCATCCCAGTTTCATAACAAGAATATTTGTCAGCTCCCATTTTATGTCCCTTTCTCTGGCTGCCTGTTCTACAAAGCCACCATTTCAGCTGCCTGTGCCTACAGACCAGCAAGCACACAGCACCACAACAGCTCCCACACTGCTATCCTCCTGCCTGTGGAGAGCATGGCCACCTCTCTTCCATAAACCCTCACCTGCGCTGCATAGATTTTTCAGGGGATCTTCTAAAATATCTTTTTTTTATCAGTAGCTCTGGGGCACCCATCAGAGGTACTTGGCTACTGTACCAATCATGTGATTTATGTAAAAGTAATTGGGGTTAATCTATCTGCCACATCAAACTCTTCACATTTGGCCCCATCTTTAGGACCTAGAAACATCTGAAATAAATAAAGCCATGTGTCATTTAACAGGGTCTGGGCTTAATTAGGATGATTCTGGATTTTATGGGAAAAGCCTTGTCCTGCCAGCTTTACATAGTTAGACTATCACTGGCAAGGTTATCCTCTTTTTTTTTTTTCCTTTATTACCTACAACAAAATATTTTTCCACACAGCTTTTCTTCTTTTTCTTCTTTTTTTTTTATCCTCCAGCCAGCCGGATGACAACCACTTCTTATCTCTGGCTGTCTTCCATGCTAAAATAAGAATGCTGTTGTTACACCGAGGGAGCTGCTCCCTTCCACCTCCGTTCCCTCCCGACCAGCACACAGCTGGCTGTGCAGGAATGCCCACGGTTCCATTTGCTGGTCATTCTTCTGTGACATTGGTGCAATTCACCCTTTAGCTTTAATTTCTATTTCTAAATCACACCAGGCCTCTCGTGCCAGGGGTTTTGTAGCCTCAAGTGACAGCCTGTGTCCTGAAGAGCTGGTGATCCTCAGCCCATCTCCACTGCCACTTGCTTTCCTGGCTTGACGAAGGCTCGCCGACATGAGGGTGAGCACGCAGCCAAACACAGCTCAAATGATGCTGGGCAATTCCATCAGCAGCAGAGAATGACTGGATTAGAAGAGGGGTAGGATTAGAGACTGATGAGTTGCTGTGAGGCTGCTACGTCTGTATGATTGGCTCCAGCAGCAGTATTTGAATGTCAAACTGTATCCCCTTGGAGCAGAGAGGTACCACCTACATTTGGTTTCAGACTGCTGTGAGCAAGGCAGCTGGTGGAAAGTAAGGGGTTTGAGCTGGGGTCTGAACAGACAGCCCTGTACAGATGAGACCTTGGCAGGTCAGGCAGAGATGAGCAGAGAGGGAAACATGAAATGATTTGCCCACAGCTACACTGGCAGTTTGTGTCAGAGGCAGAAACAGGAGCCAGATTTTTTTTAAAAAATTAGTTCCTCATGCAGGAGATGAGCCAGCAGCCTTTGTTACATCTAAATGCATTTTTTCCCCTGTAATTCATACTGCTGCAGGCTCTGCACAGTGAACTCAAGCATCCTGAAGTTGCAGGGTGCTCATTGTGACCTGCTCCATTCTCCAGATCTTGCCTACAATGCAATCGGTGCATGTTGCAAAAGCTTAACAGTCTTTTTTTTTTTTCTTTTCAGCAGGAAGTGACCAGGACCCTGCAAAACCCATCACTGAGGTGATTTCCAGTCTGACCCAGATAGCTCCGGCTATTGCACCGCCTCCAGAACTTAATGTATACACAGGAACTCAGCAGCACTCTCCAGTCAACTCAGTTATTCCCTCTTCAAATCTGGCTTCAGTCATCTCTGAAGGTGAAAGGAGACTTCAGATTCTCCCTATTGGAGCTCCTCACAGAAATACTATAAAATTCATCAGAGATGCCAAGGACAAAATAGTGAGGATGTATTAATTGATCAGGTTGCTCTAGCAGAGTGGTGCAGGAAACCACCCTGCCCATCAGCAGCCTCCTCTGCTAGTTACTGTAGTTACATCTGATTAACCAGGAACACTCACAGCGTTATTAAATGGAAGGAAAGGTTTTCCAAATTTACATATTAAAAAATTGAAGGTGTGCTGATTTCTGTCCTATGGAGTGCTTCAGACATAACACTAGTACTTAGTAGCATATTTATGAGGAAATCTTTCCTTTGAATGCTAAGCCGATTTGCTAATGATAAATGACATGAAAGGTTACTTTGAAAAAAGAACAACACTTCCTCATCAAGTTTAAACGGAAAATATCTGAAGACTTAATGGGCAACCAGATACGCGTTCCTCTTTAACAATACATCCCCATTAGACAATATATATACTTTGAATCCCGCCATTTGAATAATTTTTCTTTTTAGAAAAATAATTCTGACGGAGAACATGCAAGAAAACTACCGTCAACAGCGGCAAATAAACCAAAGCCGAACGAATCTCTCAAAAAAGAGGTGTGCTGGGGCTGAAACGAGAGAAGGAGAATAACTGCCCTGCAACTCTTGCCCAGAGCCCTGGCACCATGCAGCATCCCCGCGGAGGGATGCAGAACTTCTGGAGCACACGACACTTCACCCCGGCACCCACCGCCACGTACGCGCCGCCGCAGATGCCCCACGCCCCGCGACAGCCTCATCCAGAGAAAGCCATTTCGGGAGCCGCAGGTGACAGTCCATCCATCCGCCTGGCACACTTCGCCAGGAAGCCGGGCGACAGCGGGAGGAATTTCTGCCCCAACTTCGGATGGGTAAATTCTCCTCCTGCTTCTCGCCTGCGACCGGCTACGCGAGGGACCCCGTATCATCCCATTACCGCTTGAAATCCATGTCACACGTTTTTATCTCCTTTCCGCAGAGCGCCGCCGTGGCCCCGCCGCGCCTGTGCCCGTGGGGCAGGAGCCGCCAGCGCCGGGGGGCGATGCCCGGCCGCTCCTCCCCGCGCACCCACGGCCGTGATTTTGGAGAAGTTGCGCAGGCAGGAGGAGGAGGAGGA